CCTTCCCAGCCTAACATCATCATATTTGGGGTTTCCCCCAGGCTTTCTTGTGTTGTACATCTGTATGCGCTGGTTGCGAATGGGAGGTACTGGTCCCAATCGCGTTGACCTTTGTGCAGGTTGATCATAAAAACCATGGTGACGAGAGTCTTATTGAACCTTTCTATGAGTCCGTCTGATTTAGGATTGTATGCTGTTGTTCTTGACTTACTTATCCCCAGTAGCCGACACATTTCCTAGAATACCTCCGATTCGAAGTTGGTCCCTTGATCCGAATGGACCTCCCTCGGCACCCCAAATCGACAAACCAATTCTCTAAAAAACTTCGAGGCAACTGTTTCTGCCTTTGCATCCGGGAGTGCATATACCTCCATCCATCTTGTGGTGTAGTCTTCAACCACCAGGATCCACTGGTTCCCATCTTCGGTCCTTGGGAGAGGACCGACCAAATCTAATGCCACTCTATCCATAGTTCCTCCAACATTATACTTTTTGCAAAGGCGCCCTCCGTTTATTTGGGGGCGACTTCTTCCTTGCACATTGATCACATTTCCAGATGTATGCCCTTACATCGGCACTCATACCTGACCAGAAGTACCGCTGCTTCACACAGGCCAGGATTTTCTTCAGGCCAAGATGGCCTCCCAACTTCCCACCATGCAGTTCTTCTACAAACTCGCGTCTGAACATCTCAGGAACCAGCAGCCTCCATTGGACTGAACCACCATCATTCGACTCCCATCGCTGGTATAGTACACCGTCTCTCACAACCAACTGATACCAGTAGGACCAATACGTCTTACTTGCCGGAGACCTGTGAGCTACCTCATCCCAATGAGGGCGCTCCTTCCCCTCACCCTTGGCAATTAACAGCCACTTTGTCGACTCATCCGCCATTTGGGCGTTTCTAAATTCTTTGCTGCTTACAGCAGGCTCCACCACAGCAACTCGGGCCCCTTTCTCATCTCCTGGGCTCGAGGTTGACTTTTGTTCATCTTCTTCCACAGTAACAGTCGCATCAGTATCGGCATTTTCACCCTCAGACTCATCTTGTGCATTACAATGGTCGTAT